TTGCTAAGCTTGTTCTAAGTAGGTGCTTTAGACCACTAAGCCATCTCACCAGCCCCTAAGTCCTACTTTTTAAAAAGGTATTTAAGTACTTTTGACCCCGAGTGAGTAACGGTGCATCACCGTAGCAAGTGGAAGTTACGCAGAGCGCCAGTGAATCTGTAAATACAGCTATGTGACACTTTGGTGAGTGTGAAGTTGTCATTACGGTAATGTTTTGTGTGTCTTTGTAAGACTATATGAATAAATTTTTATTGAATGTATGAACACAGAAGAGCTTTTCAGTCGTTTTGTTTTTGTATTGTCTCTGAAAGTTAATAAAATTCACTTCAAGTGATGAATTTTAACAAACTGTACACCCCGTAGGTAAATAGAGTATGTCCTAGTTTCTTTTAGGGGTGAATTAGAGCAAAATTAAAATAACAATCAGGGGGGTTGTAGTGGCACATACCCGTCATCCCAGCGCTCAGGAGGTTGAGGAAGGATCTGCAATTTGCAGTCTGAGATCAGACTAAGCTACAAAGTGAGCTCAAGTCCAGCCTGAACTGCATCGTGAGAGCCTGTTTCAAAAACAATGAATAATAAAATACAAATTTTGTTGGGTGTGCTGCCGCAGGCTTTTACCCCAGTACTCTGGAAGCTGTGGCAGGAGGATTAATGTAGGTGAGTTCAAAGTCAGCCTAAAACTATACAGCTAGACCCTATCTCAGAAAACAGAAGTGACAGAGTCTTGTGCTGAGACTGGGCGAGGTGGTACAAGCCTGTAATCCCAGTACTTGGGAGGCTGTAAACAGGATCACTACGAGTCTGATCTACACAGTGAGATCCTATAGACCCTGGACACCCTGTCCTAAATACAAAAAAAAAAAAAAAAAAATCATAAAATTGTCATTTTATGAAAAGGAAGGGAGAACTTTAGATTATTACCAATGTAAACATATTTTTCTGATTTTGTTTCCTCTAATTCAGTTTTCTCTGTATCTACGTATCAGGCCAGAAAACTGAGCTAGGCTTATGGTGGAATTAGTTTAAAATAAGGCCCGACTTAGGAACATTGGTATTGCCAACTTTCACAGATATGAATGGAGTTCTAGTTACAGATCGAAGCAGTAGCTCACGTGTCTGCTGGCCATTGTCAGACTTGGGCTGCTGTGTGTGCATTGTACAGTGCTCAGTCAGCACAGGATGTCTGGAAGCAAGAAGAAAAACTTTTTTTTTTTTTTTTTAATAGAGACAAGATCTAACTAAGTAGTTCAGGCTAGCCTTGAAGTCTCAGTGTAGTCCAGGCTGGCTTGAACTCAGCAGTTCTCCTGCCTCAGCCTCCAGAGTGCTGGGTGTTAGGCATGTGCCACCACACGTGGCTTAAGGCTTTTTAGTTTTATTTTGAGAAAAGATGTTGTTCTTCAGTTCGGCAGGCCTTGAACTATGTAGCCCAGGCTGGCCTCAAACACAGTGATCCCCTTGTCTCAGCTGCCAACTGCTGGGATTACAGGTGTGCACCACCATACCTGGCTACATTGTATATTGGTGTCAAAGGCACATAAGACTCACTTTGTAGGATTTATAAATGATCTAGGTGGCCTGTTTCATTTAGATAGATTTGCTAAAACTGAACAGTGCAAACAATAGCTTAACACAGACCTTAGTTTTTTTTTTTGTTTGTTTGTTTTGTTTTTTTTGTATTTTAGGGAAGGGTCTACAGGGTGTTCAGGATCTCGCTACGAGATCGGACTCATAGTGACCTGCCTGTTGCTGGGATTACAGGTGCGTGTCACCACGCCCAGTCTCAATTACCATCTCAGTGTACCCTGGATGCGGGGTCAGCATGGCAGGCCTGGGGATCAGTCCCCTGGCTCCTGTGCCTGCTTGCAGGTGCCGTAATCTGCTGAGCTATTTGGCCAGCCCCAGACTTTAGTTTTTGACACCATTTTAAAATCATTGGTATTTTGAAGTGCAGCATTGGTGAATCAGGAAACCAACTTTAAATGTCTGAGTATAGTTAAGTGTCTCACTGAGCTGATAGATTCTACATGGAAAAGCCAAATTTGAGAAGAGTTATTGTTCATGGGATATAATTTAATAATAGCAAAACAGAAATTTTAAGCTCAGTATGGTGATGAATGCCTGGAATCCCAGCACTCAGGAGGCTGCAGCAGGAGGATCGACATGAATTTGAGGCCAGCTTGGGTGACACAGTGAGACCCTGTCTCTAAAGTGAAAAACACAAGCATTTGAAATGATTACAGGGCTGGGGATATAGCTCAGCGGCACAGAGCTTTGTCAATGTAGAATCTATCAGCTCAGTGAGACACGTAACAGTCCTCAGACATTTAGAGTTGGTTTCCTGATTCACCAATGCTGCACTTCAAAATACCAATGATTCCCCCGCCCCCAACCAGGGATTGAACTCAGGCTCTTGCACTTACCAGGAAAGCACTTATTCCACTGAGCCATCTCCCTGGCCCCCCAGTGATTTTAAAATGGTGTCAAAAACTAAAGTCAGTGTTAAGCTATTAAGTATTTGCACTGTTCAGTTTTAATCCCTGCCTGGCAAGTGCAAGGTCACAAGTTCCTGGTACCAAAGGAAAAAAAAAAAATTACATTAATAATTTCGTTTTACAGAATATATAAGGTATTTACTTTCTCCATTAGAACTCCCAATAAAGAGTATTATGGCTAAGAATGAATGCTTTCTTTGGTTTTCTTTTTCTGATGATCTAAAGTAAAATCTAAGATCACATTGGTGAGCATTTTAGCTTGGTAGTACAGGTGAAACACCTTTACTGCTATGGATAAATTCAATTCTAGCAGACTTTAAAAAGTAAAGTGAGCCAGGTGGCATGGCTGTGACTATTCCCAGCACTTGAGAGCTGAGGTAGGAGGATCATGAGTTGAAGGCCAGCCTAGACTACATAATGAGCTCAAGACCTGTGTCAAAAACCAAAAGGCTTTTTTTTTTTTTTTTTTTTTTTTCTCTGAATGCCTTCAGGGCAGGTTTGGCTGGCTTGAGTTGTGGGGATCAAACCACAGCAACCTGAGCCTGACTGCTTTGTTGAAGCAGCCACTTAAAGAACTGAGGTAAGGGGCAGGCCCCCCTCCCCAAAAAGGCATTTTAAAAAGTAAAATGAGAGCTGTTTCACATATGACTGTCCTAAGGCAAGGGTATGTGAAATACTTGTTACATTTAGAGAAAAATGCATAGGCAGCAGTTCCGTGGAAGTTTTGCTCAGACTGTTTAACTCTCATGGGTCAGGAAGGATACTTGCCAGTAGGAAAACTTCTCAGCAGGTTCTGTATAGGTGTAAAGTGGTGTATTCATACCTATTTCTAATTACCAGTATGACCAAGGCAGTAAATGTCAGAATCAAGCTGGGCTCGTGGTGCACCCTTGTAATCCCAGCACTCTGGAAGGCTGAAGCAGATGCATTGCAAATTGGAGCCCAGCCTGGGCAAGTGAGTGGTTTAGCCAGACCCTGTCTGAAAGAGAAAGGACTAGTATGTTGCCCAGTGAGAAGCCCTGAGTTCAGTCACCAATTCAGCCAACCAACAAAGTCGCGATGCTGGCATTTTAAGATTGGGGCTAAGGCTTTGGTGGTGCAAACCTGTAATCTCAGCATTCTCGAAGGCTGAAGCAGGAGGTTCACAATTTCAAGCCATCTTCAGCAGTTTAACAAGCAGCAATTGGGAAATGGAAAAGATGTTGTAATAGTTGGTCCATTAGTGAGTTTAATAGATTAAAGCTCATAAAAGCAGCGCTGTACTCCATTTTCTAAACTGGAGTAGCTCTGAATCTATATTAAGAGCTTCCTTATCTTATGCATAATTCATGTATGAAATATTAAAGACGTTTACAAGTGTTTAGAATACTTGTTTCCAAGAGTTTCTCCTGAACATTTCTACTTTTATATAAAGGTGTAAAAATTGTTATTTTAAAGTTAATAGGGGCTGGTGAGATGGTTCAGTGGTCTAAAGCACCTACTTAGAACAAGCTTAGCAAAGCACAGGGACCGCGGTTCAATCCCCCAGCACCACATGCCAGCCAGCCCCGCCCC